TCATTTCTTTCGTTTAGACACACTTTAATGTTTGATAAGTTATAATTTTTTGCCGACTTTGCGAGATATACGGACACAAAACACGCGAAAAATATTATATTTCTTAACATAAAATAATGTATAAGTAATTTATGCCGGAATTTAAGTGTTACATGATTTTTATGTTTATTACATGCTTTGGTATATTGTTTAAAGTCATGCATCGATATTAATATTAGTCTTAATAGCGGCTTGGTTATTTTCTAACATTATTGTATAGCAATTTAATACTACTGTTAAACATACTGTAGTCTGAGAAAGAAGAGAGAGAGAGAGAGAGAGAGAGATAAGTTTTTCATAAAATTCATTGTGATTTCATATACCAATTGCCGACAAAACTAATAAAACAAATCACCAGAAAATTCATGTCACGAGAGATTAGCGTCAATCACATACTGAAGGGCAACGAAACTACAAGTGATGTCATTATTGTTATATTCAATGTATTCCTCATCCGATTAGAGATCTCTATGTTTTAAACCAACGAAATAAATGTTATATTGTTTTTATTATTGTCTGTATTATTATTATGGGGAGAGTTCGCAGACTTATCTATTGTTTTTTGGGTCAATTGTTTGCATTTGTGCAGTGAAAACGACTGAATTTACACACAATTCAAATTGTGATTCAAATTAGATATTTATTTCATTCATCTTATTTGTAATTTATATTTAAATTTCAAAGATTTAGAATTTTTACTAATATTTAAAACTTGTTAAATTAGATTATTCATAAAAAAATTTTAAGGACATCGTTCATTAAAGTGATATAGCTAATTTTATTTATTTAGCATAAGTTATTTAAGTTGCTATCAATATATTCTATAACATAATTATCACTTAAGAATCAAGAATCAAGTTAACAGTTAATTAAATTAAACTTATAATAATATTTAAAAATTAAATGTTTTAATGCATTTGTAGACATTCATAAACTTGGCAAAAATAATACCAAAATAATAGGTCATATTCAATAATATGCTTATATTTACATATGAGTGAAAATATTGCAGAAATAACATTCATATATGAAAATATCATACGCTTTGTCCGCAAATATTCAACATTTAGGTTATTATCAAAAACTTTTATGAAATTCAATATATGAACGACTGATAACATTGAAAACTGCATTCACTATTCAATTGCATAGAAAAGGGAGTGAAACGTATTTAAGATATGAATTTTGTGTTGTTATCTCACTTTAAATTCTCTCTCTCTCTCTCTCCCCCACTTTTACTATTTGGTTATACAATACAAATGGTGTATATATTTCTCGACAATCAAAGCCATATATTTCACTAGTTTTCGGGTATTTCAGCGACAAATATGACTCAACCGGGAGAGCACACAAAACTTCATCTAGATTTTCAATATCAATGCTACGATTCTCTCTCTCTCTCTCTCTCTCTCTCTCTCTCTCTCTCTCACCCATAGAGTGGGAGCACATGTATTACTGGTAGTGAGTGGAGAGTGAGCTCCGGTGTGTGATTCACTGTAGTATTATTTTTTTTGCTGTTGTGTTTCGTTTGGGCACTCATTGCAGGAAATTAAAGTTATGCCCGACTTATCCATCCATTTGTTATATCCATTCGCCAAATACAGGCATACAATTGATAAATATATATTCATATAATATATACGTGTATATTATATATGGCATCTCTATCTATATATTGTGTGTGTTTTATAACTTCTATTGGAAATGCATTATAATTGAGGCTAAATTTCACTGACTATTAAGACTTTGTGTGTGTCTCTGGTATGTGCTATGGTTTTGGTGGGGAATCGGAGGCAAATGGTAGGCAATGGCAGGGAATATGTGTAACACTACTAATGATTGTAGAAATCGATGCCATTCTCTCTCACAATTCAGTGCCCTTTTGTTACGTTCAGTACTTCACTATTCATTACAATGTATTTGACTTTTAAATTATTCTAGTATTTGATGTCTAAGTATTTAAACACACGAATTGTCGAGAGAGAGAGAGAGAGAGAGAGAGAGCCGGTATCGCACTGTTAGAGTCGGGAGAGATATTTCTGTTAAATTAATAGTAAAAATAATTTAAACACTGATTTTTTTTGTTCATTTGTAAATGTGTGTTAACACACAGATTATTACTATTAAAACAATGAGATTATTATTCAAATATTTCAGGGCATATGAGGGGAAAGACTTGAGAGAAATATCATATTATGTATGCGAGTGTTTTATATATGCATAATATTTAAATGAATTATCATTATTACTGTATTTAATATTGAATATAATTGCTTTGATGGGCACAAACACACCACACATGCAATAACCGGCAGTGTTTAAGTGTCGGCTCATTTACATTGTGTCTGAACACCGGCTCTGAATATTGACTTTTCAATTCATTGTGTGTTTTATCGCAATTGAAAAACCAATTTTTTAAATGCCATTTAGATTTAACAGTCAGACGAACAATATTAGGGGCACTTTTCCTCCGCTATTTTACATACATCTTATGAAATACAATACAATATCTCTCTGGCATTCACTGAGTCTCAGTCCATCACTTCTCCCTTTATCTGCCACTTTTCTCTCAATACAAATCCTATTCTGCAATACATTTATCATTTGTCGCGACTTTTAAATCTAGAAATTAGTTTTCGGAATCGATTTTTACTAATTATAAAAATGGGGACAAAATTACATTAAATGTAAAGATTAAATGCGAGAGAGAGAGAGAGAGAGAGAAAGAGAGAGAATTAATTGACTAAATAAATAGAAATTTGCTTTTTGTTAAATTTATAATATGTATAACACATTAATCCACACAATATTTCTAAAGCGTTAGATTAGATAAAAAAGAGAGTGAAATATAAATGAGAGAAAAGCGAGTATTGAATCGCTAGGAATAAAGTCATTAATTTTATTAAACACTAGTTTTATGATCGCATGAGAGAGAGAGAGAGAGAGAGAGAGAGAGAGAGAGAGAGTCTGAGATGTATAATACCCAAAATCAAATTGAGAAGAATTGGGATCAAAATTGGAAATTTTATTTCTTGTAATTCTCTCTCTCTCTCTCTCTCTCTCTCTCCATTTCTCTCAGTTTAATCTGTTTGTATACTCAATGGACATAAGACAATGTCAGTTATGTTTTTTATATTTATAATTTGAAATTATTATATTTTTCAGATTTACAAATAATTTATATAATTAATAATTTAAAGTAATGTGTTATCTATGAAGCAAATAAGTTATGTTGAGTCTAACGATATATATAGAAAACGATTTATATAAATCATTTCCAACATTTATAACTAATAAAAAGTTATAATAAAAAATTTATATTAAAGTTTAATTAAATGTAAAAAGTTTAAACAAAAACAAGAAATGAAATGTTTTAATTTAACTATTTGAAAATTCATTGAAAATCTTTGTCATATTATATTTACGACAACTCGTGACAATTGCTTATTATAAACAACTTATTATTTTCTAAAAATATATACAGTATATAATCAAAATAAAAATTGGCTACAATTTCTCGCACGAAAAATAACATAACGACAACTCTAGAAAAATATATCATCAATAAAAATATTTATTGTCTTATCTTTTTATAACATAATTGTGCAAAAAATAACTAAAGGATTGTATATATTGTATAATAAACATCAGATAACTATCAAAAGGGAGATGTTTTAGCAAAAAAGTGAATGAAAATGAGCGAATGAATGGATGCGAGAATATAAGAATATTCTTTATATAATATGTGGATATAGTGTTTGAGTGGGTATTGAGTCAATTTGACTTATATGTGTCAATATATAGTGTACTGCATATATCGGGCATATAAACTGTGGCCCATTATATCCGCCCGTAAAGTAAACTCCTGGTCAGAGATAAATTGATGGCCAATAATGTCTATATAGTCTATAATACACATACAGTTTTAGTACACCAGTATATGAGGCTTATGTTCACGTAATAATCTGTCCATTACTCCATTACAAAACAAATATTTGTCCTCTCTCTCTCTCTCTCTCTCTCTCCATTTCTCTCAGTTTAATATGTTTGTATACTCAATGGACATAAGACAATGTCAGTTATGATTTCAAACTTATATATAAGTTGTTGATATGACTAATTCCCTGATAAAGTCTCTCTCTCTCTCTGTTTCTTTCTTTTATCTCACTAACAAACTACTGGTGTGTTGTTTTGTGCGCTGTTTATACGCTTCAGAGATATATACTGTATATAAAGCAAATGAGTGTCCATTGAGAGGACCCGAGAAGATAAGGGTGCGATCGGAGAGACGAAGTGAAACATTAAAGATTAATGCCATACATATAACCATAAAATGTGAACACATTTATGTAAGAAGTTTAGTAACTTTACTCTCTTTTAACGAATGAAGTATAAGTTATTTTGAAGTCTATTCTTCTACGGATACATAAGACTCGTGAATATTTTGTTCAATTATTTTAATATTATGAAAGTTTCCTGATATTAGACTACTAATAAATATACTGTATATAAATGCCATGCATTTGGATATTATTATGTCATAGATTTGTGTCAAGTAGAAGGATAGGTATCTTTTTGGATTCATTTGAAATACGCATTTATATTGATTGCAACTTAAATATGCTTTTAATGTTAATGTCGTTTTCAACGATAATCTTATTTCTGTTTTCGATACATAAATATAAAGACAAATCCATTACTAGGAGAGAAAATAAAGATCTAATAATACGTGAAATTTTCAAACTTATATATAAGTTGTTGATATGACTAATTCCCTGATAAAGTCTCTCTCTCTCTCTCTCTCTCTCCGAAACTAAGCCCAATCTTGTTTTATAATATTTATTTATTTTTCATTTGTTTTCCTTGAGATCACATCTACTTTATATCACAGATAATCCTCTTTTTGCGAATAAAATATCATTTATTTTCGTATCAATTATTTAAATCTCATTCTTTACGACATTTTCTTAACTTCAGTTCAAAAATGAGAATATAAATTATTTGAATTTACAATTCATTGATTGTATGACTATTTACTTATTTATGATTATAGGAGTGAAGAACCAGTGGCACAAAACATGGACATCTCCACCGGACATATCATTTTGGTGAGTAGTGTTTGTGATAATGTACTCTAACCTAATCATATACTGTATAATAACTCAATTGATGCCGTGTTGTAGTCCTATATGGAGGATCACCTGAAGAAAAAGGATCGTTTGGAGAGGGAATGGGAGGCGTTGTGTGCCTACGAGGCTGACCCGTGTGCCACACATGCGGCCGGTTTGCCCCAAAACGCTAAGAAGAACCGCTACACCGATGTCTTGCCGTACGATCACTCGAGGGTTATTCTCAACGACTTGGCCAATGTCTCCGGATCTGATTATATCAACGCTAACACTATTGTAAGACATTATTTGTTTGATGTTTACTTATCGTAATTACATTAAATTGTTTGTATATTATATATATCTCCTATTCATTCAAACGAAATCCAATTTCTATTAAGAGCTTACAAATCACTTATTTTCTTAATTTAATTTTTTCTATACAAGTGTTTAGAAAGCTTTTAAATAAAACAAATATTTTTGAAAAACACTATTTTAAAGTAATTCCCACAATAAGTGGATTTACAGTAAAGTGATGGATATATAACATGACAATTATGTTTTGAAATTAATACAAACATTTAAATTGAATTTCATTGGTCTCTGTGTCCCCCAACAGACCGATCACGACCCCCGAAACCCGGCCTATATTGCAACACAAGGACCTCTTCCACAAACGGCAGCGGATTTCTGGCAGGTATTGACATACGGCTCACACATTCAGTTTGCTGCTACCTGTGCTCACTCTCGCACTCGTATTTTCAATATCAATTAAAGAATTAAATTAACCCGGTTTGCAATGTTTTGCAGATGGTATGGGAACAAGGTAGTGTGATCATCGTGATGCTCACCCGACTCATGGAGAATGGCGTAGCGATGTGTCATCGGTATTGGCCCGAAGAGGGCAGCGAACTCTACCACAACTATGAGGTTCATCTGGTGTCTGAGCACATCTGGTGCGACGACTATCTGGTCAGGAGTTTCTATCTGAAGAACTTAAAGACCAGCGAAACCCGAACTGTCACTCAGTTTCACTTCCTCTCGTGGCCCGAGAATGGGGTTCCGCCCAATGCTAAGGCTATACTTGAGTTCAGGAGGTAAGACATGCCATACAACCAATGCTATACATGTTTTGTCGCATTCACTTCTTTTAGCGCATTTCTATCTCTAGTCTTCACTTATCCCTTAACTTACTTTTTCTGTCACTAATCACTGATCGATTGATGCGTTTAACGCATACCAGCCTTCTCTCTCTCTCTCTCTCTCTCTCTCTCTCTCTCCATTTCTTCTCTTCATTACTCTTTTACATCACAACAAACGCAGAGAAAATCTAATGCTTTTATTCCTAATTTATGGCTCTTTTCATTGGGTTTTTATACGAGAAATTCTTTGCGATTATAAGAAACTAATTAAAAAAGAGAGTAAAATTTGAAACATTGGACTAATAATAAATCAATACATTTTACGATCCGATGTTTTCTGAAGTGGTTTGACTCTGGATTGGGCTGACATGTGAGCGCTGCGTCTGTATTACTAACCGACTACCACTCTGTGACCATTCTGTGACCATGGTCATCATTTTTGTGATTGGTGCAATTGCGGCTATAAATCGCATTTTAATTGCATAGTCACAAAAGTGATGGCTTTGTCTCAGCTTTTTCACCGCTTTCTCTATTCATTCAATTCATGTCTTTCTCTCTTTGCCTTCAATTCATTCATTAATTCATCGATTGAATCGCTTTATTAACTCTTAATAATATTACAAATAAAATGTTTCCATAACTTAGTTCTAAACATTAAAACATATTTATTGAAAATATGACATTTAATAAAAACTCGTTATATCTGTTTCAGAAAAGTAAACAAGTCTTATAGAGGCCGGTCGTGTCCTATTGTGACACATTGCAGGTAAATATTGTCACTAAACTTAGACATTATGTTACATTATACTCTATATATAACCGATTTAAACGTGAATATGTAGTGATGGGACGGGCCGTACGGGCACCTATAGCCTCATCGATATGGTCTTGAATCGCATGTCAAAAGGGGCTAAAGAGATAGACATCGCGGCAACTCTGGAGCACATACGCGATCAACGCATGGGAATGGTTAAGACAAAGGCTCAGTTCGAGTACGTGCTGACAGCTGTGGCCGAGGAGGTCCAGGCCATCCTCAAGGCATTGGCACAAAATTGAATCCCAGATCACATTTAAGCAGCAAATTATTACAAATACAGCGTTTCCTCCAAATTCTCCAATCGTTTCCTAATGAGAAACGATTATATTTTATTTGAATGCTTTTCTTATTCTTTTATGAATATCTATTTAATAAACAAATTTAGTTATATTTTTCTAATGTTAGATACGTTTCTCGTCTCTCTCTCTCTCTCTCTCTCTCTTACATTTTTTTCTTTCAACTGAACTCTATATAAATACAATTTATACATTTATTTCTTATGGCTTTTACTTTCAATTGACTTATTTATGAATTATTGAAAGCATTGGAAAATTCAATTTTATGTCAGCTTTTAGTTTAAGTTGTGTTTTATTGATTTCATTCAATAATTCTTGACATAAGTTTTACTTTTCATTATTTATCTTTTCATACAGTATATCGACTCTGCATTTATAGATTTTTTAGGGTTTATATAAAACATACAAATACCTCACATTTCAATCAAACGAATACATATTATTATAGAGACGAGAGAAACAAGAATCGTATCTAACTTTTAAACAAATTAAATCTAAAATATATAACAATTTCCCCCCTTTTGCCCCCGATTTACAGTAATAGAGTTCTATAACTCAACCCCATATTATAGTTAGTGTTTTCACAATATCTATGGATTGATTGAAATTTTAAATTTTGTTTCCTTAAAACCGTAAATAAGAAATTCGTTGTAATTGTTTGTGAAAATAGAAATCATTTCTCTCAAACATTTCAAACATGTTGTCGACAATAGACTCACAATTTTGTTTTATATCCATTTCAATGATTTTATTTGACTACTATTTGAGGTCTAAAACCATTTTAATTATTTCAAAAATTACAAAATTATGCAATAGTGATTAAACACACAATTTTTATAAGATAATGATTTCATATTCAAATTAATACAATTCAAATCTAACTAATAAATATTGATAATATATCAAATCAATGCCAATATGTGGTCCAATAAGAAATATGCTCTTATTTGATGTGTTAAGTGATTATTAAATAATAATTAATAAAAATACAAAATCAATAATAATATCGGGAAATGTTTAAAAGTGATGATTTCTATTTTCACATAACGCCTAATCTATGGCCCAAACCCTGGCTTATAATCAAATGGCCATCGATTAGGAGATATTTTGTTAAACAAATTTTCAAATATTTTATTGTTTTATGAAATTTAAAGAGTATTTGGTGTTAAAAACAAATAAAATTCTATAATTCATCATAAATTTTATGTATTTTATGTAAGTTATGGTTAATCACAGCAACAGAACTATATTTCATTATTATTATTATTATTATTAAGACAAATATCCAATCATTTTAGCTTTTATTTATGATGGAGTCATCGAAACCGCACATAATCTTAGAAACCAATCCTATTCTTAGCGTTTAGGGCAACAGTTTTGCGGACATCGAAGTTGTATTAGTATTGTATTTAATGTCCGCAACTGTTATGTTGTGACTAAAAAATATCTGAAACATTCAAATGATACAAAAAAAAACTGAAGCACTCAGTGATGACAAAGATAGATAAAAGTATTACATCTCTTATATTATATTTTGCTAATAAATGCGATAAAAAACATTTTATTTCCAAAATCAATACAATTGATAAATGCCTTTCCATTTGACACAACAAATGACTTTAGGTTTTTGTCACTTATTTAATTAAATTTATTTGTTATCACATTATTAATGGTTTTAAATGTATTTAAGAATATTATTAGTAATATTAACAAAATATTGAAATACTGAAATATTTATAAATGTTTGCGAGAAAAAAGGTTATACTAAATGATAGGAAATATTTTGACCAAAAAGGTAAATGACATCACTTATTATGCTATGATTTTAGGCACAAAGACTCTGTTATACTTATTAAAAAGTTTATTGTATTGAATGAACAAATTATTTTTGTTTCTAAAATCTATATACAAATCAAAACTATTGTTTATTATAATATATATCATAAATACATATAATATTAATTTAATTTCTTGTCTTATTTGATGTGTTAATTAATGTATGACAATGTTTGTAATTTTAATTATTATATATTAATAGTATTATATTAATCTCATAAAACAATTATATATTATATTATAACATGTTTTTTGCTCTAAATTTATTTATCATTAAAAAACTTTCATTTCTCTTCTTTCTCTTTGACCTCAAATAAAGTAGAGTTTAATGTCTTTTACGTTGAAATTATGTATTCCTGTCATTCAATTCATTCAACCGATCGATTGCCGCGAGTTTTTCAATATATTTAATGAACAATTTCTCAATATATTCATTATATGTTTTCATACAGTATTTGAGAATATACTTTATATTAGAGAATAATTTTGCATTGCATTCATTGCACATTTATCAATGCTATTATATGTGCTGAACGCCATTAGCACTAATTAATCCCAATCAAATATCAAAAAATTGAATTTAATCCCATTGTTTGTAATATTAAATATTAAATATAAACTAAAAAGAATTGTCGCATTGCTTAATATAAACATAATACATTTATTTAATATAAATTGAGCATCAAGTTTTTAATAGACTTTAATCCTTTGTAATGTAAGCTTGTTTACACCAGTATTTTTCACTGAAAATTTACATAATGGTAGCACTGGTTAAGACTGCAAACTCAATACACAATCTAATAATACACTAAATATATTCAACTTTAATCCATTAATTTAAATTTTATAAGATATTCAATACTTATCGATGTTTACTAAACATTAAATAGACATCCGTATATAATTCAAAAACAACTTTAAAACTTGTAAAATATAAAACAACATTGAATGTCTGACTAAAGTAACATTACCAAGTGTCTATTAACTTGCTAACGGAGATTCTTTTATTTGGAGAATTTTATTATTTAAAATTTTAAATAAAATTTCAATTGTTTTGTTTTGTTAACCCAGGATTACAAGTTAATTGATAGATAATCAAACATATGGTTGGACAACATCTTGAGTAATCAATAAGTTCAAAATACTACATAGTCCAGATCAAACAAGGACGGTTGGTCACTCTACCGAACATGGAAATGTAATTTAAATAACATTGCTCATCAAATAAAATCTACACTGTAGATTCTATAATAATAATTACATTCTATACAATGACTCACAATTTATGATATAAGATACGAAATTTATAATTTATTATGATATAAGATATGAAATTTATGATATATTATAATATAATGATTACTGTGTGCTGACATAAATTGACTGAATTTTTTGGCGATGTTCAGCCAATGAGTTTCACCGATTTAAATAATTGTAGAATGTAACACAATCTTAGAATAACAATAAACCAATTTTGTTTAAATATTTTGTTGAAATAGTTTTACTAAAATATCAATCAGTCATTGTTTCACAGAATCACTAATTCAATAAGTATTTGCGAGTTTACTAACCATAACTTTCGACACATTTTTCAATAAGTATTGATATATAGTTTTACATGAAATATATAAATAATATTAATTAATAATGACATAAAAAACTGATTTAGTAATCAATTTTACATCTATTGATCATTTTAAATCAATTTTTACTACTATTATTAAACCAATATTTTTGAGATAATGTGTGTCATAATTTTGAGAAATCAAATAAATGCATATTTAATACTGTATTTCGTTTTTATAGATTTTCCACCTTTTTGTTTGGTTTTAAATAAAATCTTTTATTTAATATACTGTCGGCGTTGTTGTGGAGAAGTTTAGACGTGTTTTAGTGAATTTCCGATTCAAACCATCAAATTGCCAATTGTTTGTTCAATTATGTGAATGAACCCCTCTTTCGACCATTTATTTCAAATGAAAACATTTATTAAGAATAGTTTAAATTTAAAAGTATATTTACTTAATAGAAAGTATATTATGTATTGATAATTATATTAATGAATTATTGCAAATTTTATCCCTGAAAACAGTCATATTTTAATCGATTTTATATTATTAATCTTAACGTAAGCTTTAAGTATACATAAGCCATCCGATTGTGGATCCAAACGGGAAATCAACTAAAAGACTGGTATGTAATTTGAATAATATATGGGAAATATAATAATGAAGTAATGGTTTCAACGATTTGGATATTATTATATTTTTTAATAAGATTTTTGCGACGATATGTCATGACTTGGTTGGTGTGAAATTTACGACATATAAATTACGGGAAATTTGGAGCTAAACTTGTCAGCAATTTCTCACTTGGATTAAGTGAAGAGTCGATTGTAATTTCAAGAAGCTAATCGGTTGGCGTTAATCGATTGGCGTCTATTAGTTATCGGGGTAACAATTATATGATTTCCCACTTTTGTTTATCTATAAGTGTAAATCAATTGTAAGGTTTGTTGAGACGTCAACTTTTGCCATAAATTTGTTTAAATATAGTAATAGTGGTAAATATGATTTAGGAACTATAAATTTTCATAGAAACTGGAATATTGATCGATCAATATTAATCGACGACCATGGTCGTATTGTTAAACATATTGGCAATGGTTGACATTCACCGATACATGTGGCAAATTGTGAAAAATAAATATATTTACAGCATGTATTGACAACAAATGGTGACATCATTGACAAAATTGATTGTATATTGCTTTTGGACACCGGCGAGGGAGTGGACTGTAAGTTAAGAAATGCCACTAATTTCAGTCGCCCTTCTCTGCCAGTTGTCCATAAGAATTACTCATTACATTCACCAACTTTACAGTCGTTGTCATATACTTTAACACAACCCCTCTAAAGGAAACCCTCTTAATAAGAAACACTTTCCATGCAATTACCCGCTTATTGTATAATAGCACTTTATTGTATTATAAAAATAAAATAAACAAACAATTGTAATAAAAATTTTCAAAGTATTATCGTTATTCATTACAATAACACTTCTATAATAAATACAGATTTAATATTTTTAAGTTTAGATAATGTTTGGAAAAATAACAAGATTGCAAGCAAATTATTGGTTATCCATATTCAGATAGTCACAAAATTTAATACTGTAGTTATAAATTAAACTCAATGGTTGTAGATTCTATTCTCCGGGATTCCAGAATAAAATCGGGAATTAATTGGGTTATTAAAAACATTGGGAATTACATGCTACTGGGTTTAGGGATAATAATACTCAACATAATATGTTAAATTATAACAATTTTATTTACCCGAATATAGCTTATAAGCTCGTTGACAATGTAAAGTAAAAGGCGATAATTTTGTGTCCATTGTTTAATATTTGTTTTATGGAAGTAACATTATCGATAGAATAAAATAATACCGGTAAAGTTAATTGAAATTAGGCACAAACATAATATGAACGCTGTTATATTGCATTTGATTTAATAAACATCAATTTAATGTTTAATTGTTTAAAATGGTGTGATTGGATCATACTATATAAGTACGTTGTAATAGTACAACATTGTAAGATACAGTATACAATAAGGGTATTGTTCATATTTTTCAATTCTTGATAATTATCCAATTTGATTGTCGGTAATTCCAATGAGTTTATAGTTATAAGTTATAACGAATCATTATTTAGCAAACATTTCTGTCCGTATATACTGTATTATACTGTAAATTACAACGATATAATATTCATAATGCATTAATTGTATGCTTATGTAATAAATATTAGAAACATAAATATAATATTTCACTTCAACTTGTATAGTAATTTCCGATTACAGTATATACGGACAGAAATGTTTGCTAAATAATGATTCGTTACAACTATAAACTCATTGCAATTATCGACAACTTATAATTGTCAAACTTGTTTAGTTATATCATGATTAACTTGGTATACAACTATTAATATATTAACTTTTAAGGTGCAAAACACTTAATGAATTGAATTTTAAATAACAATCCGTTTTCTAATATTTTAGTGAATTGTTTATATATAAAAATACCGCCAGTATTAATATGATAATCAAGAGTTTACTGAAATGATAATTATTTTGATATTACAATACATAGAATTTTAACAAATATGACAATATCTTTATATAACATTAATGGTGGACAAGAATTTAATTACAATTCAAGTAATAAATAGGTTTCGTTTTTGATACAAATATACAATTAATTTATCGGTTTATATATATGTATATCACATAATATCTCAAACAGTGACAACAATTTTAATAATTTTAATAAATAATGTTTATACGATATTAAAATAAATGCAAATTCCGTGTGAAATTGCCATAAAATGAGTTTAAAATATCGATTAATAAGTTATTAATAATAAGAAAACAATTGATTAATGGATATAATAATTGAATAGATTGCAGAAATCACAACAACATATTTATGAATTAAACTCAAGTAAAAGTAGTGCGAAATGAATGTCAAAATCAATTCAAAGACGACGTCTCCTCGTTCTGCAACTGAAGCGCTTGTTCTTCAGGAAGTGGTCGGCGCTTAAACTGATTGTTGGTCACCAGATAGACAATCACCGCCACAAACAACAGCACACTTATGCCCAACATATTGATCACAAACGTGGCTCCGGTCAGGTCCGAGTAATTGGGTGCGCCATCCTTTCCACTCCTAATTGCAATTGTTATCATTTGTTACAAAATATATATTTTAATAATTTGTAAATAAAAACATCAAAATATAATTACAGAGAGAAGATGGCCTTTTCGGTGATACCCAAGAGAGCGGTGGCGCCGACCATCACAAACAGTGTGAGTCCAATGTACACGTGATAGGGAAGTATTAATCGGCGGTAAGTGGGCGCCAGACCTGGGATTAGGAATGATACGAAGCCAATGGCGAACTGGCCGGTGAATAGTACCATGGTCAGGCCACCGATCCAACTGTGCAGAGAGTATAGGTTCGGTATATTCATGTTGTAGTGGAATCGATAGACGGCCCACGAGCCCAATAGAGCTAACACTAGAGCTGATCCGTTCAACACCGCGTGTAATATCTTCAGTATCTTTTTGCGTTCATTACGTAACACCCGATACACTAAAATCGCTGTTTAATTCATTGTATTTTCGTTTAAAATTTGTAAATATTTAATCATTTTTAGTTGTAATTAATATATGAATTAATAAAGTGATAATTAATACCGTCGCCGAAGAGGAAGACCATTCCCAGAGTCATTAAAAGTGGATGAAAATTAAACAATTGACTAAACAATAGAGTAAACAAAACGATGGTTAGTGTGAAAAGGAGTGACATTTAGTGGTGACATATCGATGGTTGATATATACCTATTGGTAGCGAATCCAATGCCTCCCAAGTATTTAGAGATCCAAACGCTGACCAAAACAATGACAAAGAGACCCAACACTTGCGATAGTATGAAACCGCCCATAAAGTTGGCCACATTTCCGATACCGAAGCCATCCATACGGGCGTTGCTCTCGTACTCCATCAGTAATGGTCTCTTTGAGTGCCAATCGTTGGCCGCCGACGAAGACAGTAACTGATCAGCTAAAAGAGTGCATCAAAAATGGGATCAATTAATGTTTTGGTTAGAAAAAATGGGTTAGTTTTACGATTATTGTCATCGGTATCAGACATCGAGACAACACGTGGACAACAAATTGAAAAGTTATGCTAACATTGAATTGAATGACACAATCATTGAAACCATATTTCAATTATAAATACAAAATCCAATTAAAAAGACAACAAATATGTGTCACTTGAATGACAGAGTTGTGAACTGCAGTGAAGTGTCATTTCGCGTAAACATATGTTTTTACAATCGCTGCTAAACCTATCAATAGTTTGTAATTTACCTGAAAATAGTTGCAATCAAATGAGTGTTTGAACACAATATGTCTGAAAATCAATTTTGTCACTTGTTTTCAGTTTTGTGTTTACTTTAAATAGTGATTACAGTTATGTAGTCATTATGTGACACTTGTTTCTGCATTCAATACAAGTGTGTTATACAGAGTACACAGTATTGTATGGGTTTGTAAAGTGAAGTGAATGAGTGCTCGCATGCGTTCATCACTCATGAATTGTTCAAATTATTTTTGGCAATTATTATTATTTCCACTATTTTTTTGCCCCATTATTATAGAAATATTTTTTTGTATAATTGTATAAGTTGTAATTTATTTTAAAATGTAATAAAACTATTTTTGTGTACATATTATAATGTGCGGTCCGCTTATGCACTTAGGAACTACTTATACTAGTATTGGTTTAGTGTGCATGAAAGATGCTAGGTCAATATTGCCAATTCAATCAATAAATGATATTAAACGTTGATAACAAGTTATACTAATATATTAATTCAGATATCAATAGCCTTGAAAGCTGTTGCCTATAATCGGCCAATAAAAGCAGCGTTTGATATCTGTTTTGTTAGACTATTATTAACTATTAATGATTAGTGAAAGGAGTGATTGAAATGACAATAAAAGTTGAATTTCTAGTTTATTAATAATTTATTAATGATCTAACGATTTGAAGCCTATTATTATTTTTATTATCGCTGTACATATCATGTCATCAATTAAGACAATTATTTAAATAACAAGTTTTGTTGACTACACTAGTAATGCATTCACTGATAGAAATTGTTTGACTGATAATTTAATTGAAATTTTTCCTAAAAAAAAGTTATTGATTTGACTTTGACTTCAATTGATAAGAAAAATTTAAATATAAACACCCAATGAGTGCATTGAATGCGATAATAATAGATAGAAATGAATTGAAAATAGTTTATAAAACAATACAAACAATATATGAGATATTGATATGAAATTCTTGATTATCGCACATAAGTGTCAAACACCAGAATAAATGCAATTCTTGAATAGCAATGCATTCATAAAAACGTTATTAATGTTAAGCGAATGGAAAGCAAAGCGAAGGACGAGTTGAGGACGACTGACAGGAATTGATGCCTAACTTGTATTCAACACTGTTTTCACTGCCATATACAGTGCTATACTAAAATGAGTCTTGAGACTGAGGTTTAGTTTGAAGACTGAGGTTGAGCTCGACTTCTATTCTAAAATCAAACTCAGCAAAGTTTGGTCTCAAGGTTGAGCTCAAACTCGGGTAAATCTCAAGACTGACTGTGATCAACTTTATCCCTGAAAGTTGGCCT